TACATATTATATTACTCATTGATGAGGTCAATGTCAACACATGTGTGATTACATTACAAGTTTATAGATTATTTATTTAAAGATGCTATTTCGAGTTTCACCTCGAAAAAAATGATTTGTTTTTTCAGTTTCTATTTTCCTAGTAATATAAAGACACTCACTTTTGAATGAGACATTGAACGCGAAAATCCTTTTTTGACATTTTAAGGTATTGAATTTATTTCTTTACAAAATTTGAGTTATTTTTTTGAAGAGCACAGAACATGCATTTGTCTGAATATTAGCAATCACGTGTGCAGAGCCACACGACGAACATCTCATGTACATGTACACAGTATCCTAGCATGCAAAGTTTATGCGACCCCACTCCCTAGCCAATCAGAGTCAACTTTAGAAATTGTGACGTCTTTTCGATCAGAAATGTGGACTAAGCTATTGATTGGTCAATTTGGCTACCATGTTTTTGTAATACAACGGGTTACGGAAGACCCGATAGAGGGCGCCCGCTAAACGGTCAGAATCTGGAGATCAAAATGCACTCTTGTCGTGCAAACAGGCAGGTTTGCAACTGAGCCGTGTTTAAAGGGTACATCATTTGCTTTTGCTGTAATTTTCAGATATGGATGGAATTGGGGGGTTGGAAATATATAGCAAATATAGTTACACTGACTTTTTTTAGGTTATGGGTTCGAAAATGCTATAAAAACCAAGAAAAACAATCATTTTTCTGTAGTCTGGTTCCCTGACTCCATATAAGAAGAAACAGAGCAGTTAACATACATTGGGGAATTGTAAGGTCAGGGAACCAGTCTAGCTGGCTCTGGCTTGTACCCGTTCATAGGTGTGTAATCGATTGCAAACAAGTGCGATGGTCAATTGGGGCCAGTATTTGAAAAAAGCCAGTTTTTTTTCCAATGCTGGTCGGCCGACCAGCGTTGGAAATTGATACAAAAATACCACTTTTCTTGAAAATGACAGTATACCAGGTGCCATGATTTTACAGGATGCTTTACACTGTCATTCACTAACAGTCCAGCAAGGTAATTCCAAATGATTTGGTAGTTTTATTTTTTGATGTTTGCAAATGTTGTATTTTCCCTTTAAAATAAAATTCAACATTCAAATTGTCTTTGTCTTGTCCAATTTGCTTTGTTCATTAGGAATATTTTTTAAATTAAAATTAAAATTTTGAGTTCCCAAAGGCCCCATATCGGTTGAGTAAATTTCATCCCAACAAAGGCAACCAGAATTTAAGGCAGTTCATTATGTGGAATTATTTTTTCATGCATAAGTGAAGATGTGCAAGCTGCATCACTGCGCTGTGCATGTGTGCACTTACATGTAGTGTCATGGTATATTTGTGCAACGCATGATGTGCATTTTTTTGTGTGTCACAAAATAATTATTATAGCTTGTTGACATTGCAATGACGCGTGGAACCTAACAATTATATTTTCAAGGTTTTTGGGGGCTTTACTTAATGGAATCACACGAAAGAGTACATAATTATATTAAAAACACCTTCGATGCTCATGAACAGCCATTGCGTATAAACGTTTTAATCAATTTTGTGGCACTTACATACATGTACATGTACATGTACCTAGGTACATTTCATGATAGAACAGTTAACCCTCAAAATAGACTTAACTACAAAAATGTAAAAAACCCATCTATTTTTATGTTTAAAGGATGTAGGAAAAAATGACTTGAAGACCAAATTAATTCTTTCCAACTGCTCAGAGTTCCGGCATTGAATGATATAAAATTATTGGCATCCGTCCATTTGAGTTTGCATAATAAGCTGGCCTTTGATCACGCGAGTATTTGTCATTGATTTCAACTTGTCATTTTAATTTCCTGTTGCCTTCCTGCGCAAAATAAGAACCAGTCCTAAATACATGCACATTCAGAATCACCGATAAAATATCAGATACAACCATCCATTTAAAAAAAGATGAAGTTGAAATGAAGGGAACAAGCAGGTTTCATTGAAAAGGGATGTGAAAAATGCTGGATCAGTTAATTGTGTAAAAAATGTTACAATTATATGGTATATCCCCAAATCTTTATTTTTTGTGTGTATCATGAGTTTCAAGCTTCCATCTGATGTGATCTGAGTTACATTTTATACTCCCAAAGTCCCAATATAGGCCTTATGTGTTGAAGTAACTTTGGAGATTTTTTCCCTCCAAAAAATTGAGAGTAAAACTATGATGTACTGTTTGCACAAAACCAGGGCTGAAAAAATAACAAATAAATTTGGAATATGGCCGGACAGGTTTTCCACAAAATTTGCTTCCAATGTCCAATTTCAGTTTAATAGGGAAAAAAATATCACTTCAGGTTGATGCAACGGCTACAAATGTAGAAAATGATAAATTTTGTAGTACAAAATGGTTAACATAAAATGTATTTGGAATAAAGTTTTAGCTTCATTCTTCGAGGTTGGAGCTACATGTACATGTATCATTACATGTACATGTGTATGCAAGCCTTTTCGTGTCAAGTCACAAACAAAGCTACACAGAACCAGAGAAAAATGGCCTGCTTGTTGCCCAGGGGCGTTTAGCTTTCCAATGAACTGGCCTTCCTTTTCAACTGGTTCACTGCTTCTCAACAGAGTAACTGCAGACTAGCTTTTTCTTCATTCGTAAACGATTTCATGTGGTTTCCTGCCTTCACAATATATGGTATGACATCCTTCAAATCCAGTTTAATTATTGACTTGTGTACTACACGGATTCAAATTTCAAAGGATAAATCCATTAAAAGTCACGCTGTAGAGTGACCGGAAAAAGCACTATTGATGTGTTTTTTTTTTTTAAGGGTAATAATTAGCTTCTGGTATCAGATATTATTTGACACTTTTCTTTTCTCAGAAAAACAACTGAGGAGGATCACTATTCACACATGGTTGCTCACTGGCCACGGAATGCAAGGTGGGGCATTGTCACCGAAGTTACTGTACTGTAAATTGGGGTTTTTTCAAATAACACTTTACACGTAGATGACAAAATTATCTCACAAATCCAAACCAATGGGCTCCCACCTTACAGTACACCAGGGTTCTCAGAGAAATCATAAAATGGAATTTCATGACTTTTCCAAGACAAAATAAGACATTTCGTTTGAAATATGAACCGCCATATATACAATGTACATGTATAGTCTCTGCTTGGCACCAAAAAAAGAAAGAAAACAAAGCGCATGATTCGACAGTAAAATCACACAAGGTTTGTTTGAAACGAAGTCTTTGCCAAAAAAAGTAACAGTAATAAGGCATGCATGCATGTTCTGTGTTGCTGTGTTGTGTGGAGCAGGATTGGCCATTGCCAGACTTTTTGGTCATGAGTGGTAAAAACCCGATTCAAAAATCAAGTCACTGTTTATTTAATGGAGATTCCTATGATATTAAACATTTTGATAGGTTTGGAAAATAAGATTTATAAAGCATGCTAAAACTTAAAGGGAATGTACATCATTGGCTTTTGCTGTAATTTTCAGAAATGAACTATTGAGGGGTTACTATAATAGATCAAATATTGTTTCACTGACATGTTTGCAGTTTTTGTGTTCGAAAATGCTGGAAAAACCACGAAAAACACAAATGGTGGAGTAGTCTGGTTTCCTGACTCCACTAGAAATAAAATAGATGAATTTATAGATGCCGGAAAATTGTACGGTAAGGGAATCAGTCTAGCTGGCCTGCACCCGTTCATGAATATATAACCAATAGCAAACAAAATTTGGACTGAAAAAAATAGTGAATTTTGAGTAGTTGAAAAATAGTTAGGTTTTTCCAACGGTGGTCGGCCGATCACCGTTGGAAATTTATACAAAAAATACCATTTTCTTGAAAATGACTTCACACCAGGCGCCATAATTTTACAGAATGCTTTACACTGTCATTTACCAGCATCCTAGTAAGGTATTTCGTAAAAACTTGGTAGTTTTATTTTTCGATGTTTGCAAATGTTGTATATTCCCTTTAAGTAAATAATGTAAATCTTACAGAACTGAAAGTTTCTAAAACTCCAAGTCCAATTTAGTCCAAATTTGGAAATTGTTGTAGAGCCTTGGAGTAGGGCCTACATTGTATCTCCAAAATGGTGAAGCTCATTAAAACGCCATTGTCTTGATTTTGTTGTGTAATCAGTGATACAAAACCTGAGATTTCTTTCTTTAAAAATTAAATTCGCCAGACTCTCTACATACACAGAGCATAAAGCAAGGAACAGACTTGAGAAAAGAATGGATTGAAAGGGTAAATTGTGAAACAATTTGAGGAAAATGTTCCATACTCGATCGCCACTTTTTTCAATTAATTTTCTAGTGCCAAAAGTTACATCTTTTATTCCTCCACTTTCCCTCCTCTACACTCACCCTCTCCTTTCCTTAATTTCTCTTTATGAATCAGTTAGTTACTTCACCGAGATTCGAACCGCGGACGCTTGCTTGATACACGAGACACTTAACCACTAGGCCGCGCACGATCGCTGTTGCAATGGTCAATCTTTGGACGTATTTGAAGTATCCATTGAAATAAACTAAATATTCATGAGAAAATAAATATTCATAATGACGTATTGCACTATCATTGGCCGGCTCATGCGACGTCATGGTTGTCGATGTCATGCGTATAAAATACCGCTGTCTTTCAGGGGTACAATCAGTTTTGACCGGTTGCTTCAACTTACTTAGTTCTGCACGACGTGTGCATCCAAAATGTGCTCTAAAAACACATTTTGCATTTTTTTTCGCATTTACACAGCTTCCTGGATTCCTCTTGGTTGAAATCACAAGGTGAGGTGAAAATTGATATGTTTGGCAGCACATAAATTGACGATCGAGTACGGAATTTTTCCCCAATTGGATTGTGAACGGCCATGACTAGTCCGAAAATTTGGGACTCCAATACTGGGCCATGACTGCGGCTGCAGTGCAAAGGAACATCATCACATGAAACTGAAACTTGAAAGGGAAGAGAACAACCTCACCTTAGCTCCTGTGCTCCACGCGCAGATCTTTCACAAATCTCGTTTGAATTCGCTTCCGATGTTTCTGTCAAAATTCAGAGGCCACCCACTCATCAAAATATTAGAACACTGTTGACTCATCAACGACGATGACGTTTAGCGAGTCATTTTCTTCACAGGTGATCGCCATCTTTACTGCATAATATTTCTTAATGTTCTTGGAACGAGTAGTTGGTGTCTGTTTGATGACATATTTAATACCTTATTTTAGGAATCAATAGTGTGCCAAAAATTATGAGAATTGTTGCTGGTAAAAAACAAAAATTTCACTATAGGCCTGTAATAAACTGATAATAAACTGATAATGAAAATATTCATCTGCCGTGATCTGCGTAGAACGTAAGGGCATGTTCAGTACAACGACTGTCCCCATCTACGAGTTGTAATAAACAGACATTTTAAAAACACTATTATTGAGGGCGCTCTTCACAACTACCGGTTTCTGATTTTCTGAGTCTCAGCATCCACAGCTAGCTAAGTACTGTTCCTTTGTAAAACTCATCCACCCCATTCAAACCTAGCTGCAGCCTCCTTTGAGATGTGCATTTTTTCAATACGCATAAGGCCTGGCCAGGGTGGACCTCTTGTGCATAGGCCTACAAAATTCAAAGATGTCTGCTGGCGGGAATTACGGGTATCAGAACCTTGTCAGCTCAGACGTCTTATAAATGGAATTCCATGCCAGGACATCATAATCATAAATATTTCCGCCATTCCATGGTCATTTATTTCAAAAAAAACGCGGAAACACGTGCATCTAACGACTGCAGTGAAACTTAGATGACCTTGCGACAGGGTTTATTGAAATCAACCCTCCAAAAATGATGCCCCTGATTTATAGAGCATTGAAGTAGAACTATACACCTAGCCGAGTCCCATAAAATGTGTGCTTAAACTAACTTGAAGCCGAACTCTAGACGGAGTCGAGGTTTACAAAAAAGCCGTCCAGGAGGTTTTGGTGTTTGAATTTGTAAAGAGCGCCCGCTTTCGAAAGCGGTTGGTTAACACAAATCAACGAGAATGTGATTGTCGTAAATCAGAGACATTTTCCAGGAAATTTGGAATAATTTGTAATTTCATAGTTTACGAAATTTTCACTGAATTTGAAACAAAGGCCATGATGAGATTACTATTTCAATTTTTTTCCTGGGTGGGTATAGGGTGATAACAAAACCCCTCAAAAAGCAACCATCACACCGAACCACCCCGTAAGTTAAAAATGTATCCAAAAAATCTACACAAATCACCGCTCAATATAAAGATCACACAGGGAGGAGGAGGGGTATTAAAGTCCAACATTGTTTGTGGATGAGGAGTTGCAGTCGTGCATAAAAGGCCTGAATGAAGGTTTAAATCAAGATTTGCATTATAGGGTTATGACGTCATTCAGGGAACTTAAAAGACGTATTGCCGCGCTCTTCCACATGCACATGTGATTGTTTTTTCTCCCCTAACAAATTATGTTGTTTGTTTGTTCGTTTGTTTCTTTGTTTGTTGGGTTGTTGGGGAGCTTAATTGACATCAAACAATTTACGGTAGTGCTTTGCTGCCGGGAGCCTGATAATTTGCCGGCACGAACGACAAAAACATTCGGCCGCAAGAAAACACATACTTGTTCCGTAGTTGTGGGGACTACACACGAGTTGCCCCATGGTCAGGGGCGGCGGAACCGGGGGACTGGGGGGCACCCCCCCCCCCCCCCCCGATTTACCCAAGTGCCCCTTTCGCGCAAAAATGTGCCCCCTCGAGCAGAAAACAAAACTGGCCCTAAAATTCGGATAATTTGTTATAGTAACCATTTCCATAAATGGTACAGAGAGTTCGATATGAACGAGGAATATGAAAACCAAGGCCCAAAACCCTTACAATGCGCCCGGAAAATGGGCACATAATGCGTAGCTTGCATAATGGCCTGTTGTGAAGAGCGCTCCCTATTTTGGAAGCAGCCCCCCTCCACTATTTGATTTTACGGAGGCCAAGTGGCCGGTGAAAAAAACGTGTCGACATTTCAGCATGGATGTGCAAGTGCCCCTTTTCGGAGATCCCCCCCCCCCCCCCCCCAGTTTGAAAACCGTTCCGCCCCGCTGCCCATGGAACTATGGGGCCCGAAGACGCTGTTGGGATAGCAGAAAGTTTCCACAACTCGGTCCTAATTTAGCTAACAATTAAAAAAAAAACTTCCCCATATAAACGCGGTGACGGACCGTCCACCACCGTCCCCATCTAGCGACAGGCGCCGGCGGTGCAGGAGACATTCTTTTGTCAAACAGGGGACGAAATAACAACAGAATGTGCTTCTCTGTTTTTAGGCAATTCTCACAAAATAATCAGGCCTAAAATAATGTGTGCTTGAAATTTTAAGCGAGGTTCGCAGTTATAGTATGGGTTTTGTCAACTGAGTTCGAGTGCTCAAAATGCCCAACATTAATAACTATGAGAAATCACTATTGAGGGTTGAGTTAATGCCTTGAAAGTTAGTTACTACCTTTCCACGATAACGGAACAAATTAACTAAAACAAGGTTCTTCTCAAAAACAGTCGCAATCTGGAAATAGCTCACTATATCAGTTATAAAGCAGTTTCCCGATGGCCAGTTTGACGTCATTGACTAGACCGGAAGCTCTAAGTTGAAAGAATGTTTTTAAAAAAAAATCATTGTATCTTATACGTCACCGCATGTTATAATTAGTTCTGTGGTTAATTATCAACTACTCTTACTGTTCTAGTTTACTCTTTGTTAAATTGGCAGACGACGTTTTCGCTCAGACAATCCAAACACAGCTTTTATTGCTTGCCCTTTCGACGAGGAAATTGTTACTTTCCGGTTTCCTGAGTTGTGCTGTTGTCCCCGGCAATAAAATGTAATGATAAAAACCCACAAATACTGTTAATTATTGCTGTGTCGAACCCGGCCATCGTGATCGGACCATGCGCCACAAACGGCTCTGTGCGATGCGAACCATCTAGTTTGGTAACAGCGCCACTGGTGCAGTGACGCAGTGATTAACCAACGTACGGAGGAAAAAATCCACCCAACCTGTCTTTTTCTTTGGGGGGGGGGGGCTGCCACGAGCCAGTGAACTATGTAACCAAGCCTAGCTAGATACGAGTTGGATGGCCGCCGTGACGTCACGTCCACTCAGCACACTGCTCGCTTGGATGACGATCAGTTGAAAACGGTCACTCGCTATCAAGGCATCCAGACTTTTCCTATGATCAACAGGTATAAAACTCGCGCACTCCAGAGTCGTTATACCACTATCAGCGGAGAGACCGCAAACGATCAGTGAGGACTGCAGCGTCGATCGTTCTTGTCGCGGGAAAGGATCGTGACACTTGTTGCATAGCGTGGTGAGTGCTGAGGCAGTTTGAAGACGCAGGAAGACGCCAGAAGATGATGTCACGTCCAGCAAGTAAACCTCGGCCTGTGAAACGAGCTCATACATTTGAAGGGGTAAGGCAGTTTAAACATTATTTCCAACCGGATGGCCATTGGGCTGTCATGACTAATAACAAACAAACTGATGACGGTTCTGTGAAAAAAATGTAGAAATTTATTCTGAGCCTTGAGTGCACCATGTCCGAAAAGGCAGAGCTAAAAGTTGGGAGTAAAAACGTAAACCTTAATGTTTACACACACACAAATAAACTAACAATAATAGGTTACGTACCGCAACTGCGTTATTTTACTGCATACATATTTCTAAAAAAAAAAGCAAGCATTATCTTTGCTAACGTTAATATCCGTGTACCGCGAACCTGTATTTCAGCCGCAACCGTATCGTACTAAAGTCACAGACAAAGCTCAGATATTAGTTCCATATCCCAATAATTTTGTAATGTGCATCATTTCCTGATAGAATCTCACAATTGGCATTTCAGACTCGATAATGACTGTCAGGGATGAACACCATTTTTCACGCATCATTACATTTTTAAATGGTGGTTTTCGGGTGACAAAATCGTGCTGCAAACTCGATGACGAGGAACAACTTATACAACTTAACATTGTGGCGATTGAGGTCCGAACGCCACGTGGGTTACGCGTGGCAGAAAAGTAGTAATGCTGCTGCAAGTCTTGTGTATGTAATTATAGGCAAATGAACATTAGTCGCTTAAATTACGATGAAAGTTGCTTCACTTGGTTTTCTTATTAGCTTTCTAGAATGAACCCTCACCTGCATCATGCATGGCTAATTTGCATGCAAACTCAAATTTCACAAGTAAATACAGGGTGAACCCCCCCCCCCCCCCCGCCCAAGTTGTGTAAGCAGATACCGGTCAATTTTTCCAAAAGTACCTAACGTGAGTATTTCATTTTGATGGAGCATATTAATTAAAACACAATTTTGCTATCACTTTGTAAACATGTTTAGAGGCTAAATTTTATGTGTTCAATTCCTAAACGTCTTTAATGTTCCATTGCTAAACACTATCCATCCTCACTCCAAACACGTTTAGAATTGAAACATGTTTACAAACCGATAGCAAGAAAGTGTTTAGAAAAGTGTTTAATTGCTAAACACAGTTTTTGCAGTGTACTCTTGTGCATAATCAGTGAAACTGCCATGGAAACCCATTCATGCAAACCACAGCTTTAACAGATTATAAAAGGATATGTGTGTTTCAACCATTGCAATGGGAATTACACATTGCATTAGAAATCGCTCGACCGGCACTCTTGCATTGGGTATTTTCATTAACTGTGTAAATCACATTGAAATGGGTGAAAAACACATTGCCATTTTATAATCTGTTGTATCTCTGGTTTGCATGAATGAATTTTCATCAAAGTTTCGCTGTGATTATACACAAGCGTACAAGCAATATACTCCATCAACATGCAATGGTGATGTTGGATACTTTTGAGAGATTTAAAAATGATTACTTGCACAATTTGTTTGGGTCACCCCATAGGCCTATTTAATAGTATTGAATGTAAGAAGCACATGTGGATAAAGCTACAGAGTCAGAAGGGCGGAACCACCGAAGGGAGGGAACCCTTTTGTTCTAAAAACATGGCATAACTTCTTTCCTCAAATGAAGGTAAACTTTGATGTGAAAAGACATTGGCCGAATTGTGTACCATTTTGCCAATT